GCCAGGATTCTTCACTGCAGGAAAAGAATTGCAGTGTAGGTCAGGACAAAGCCAGTATCGTGTTTACTTAGAAAAAGTGTTCACAAATACTGAAGCATGGGAGTTAAGAGAGACAACAGTTAGGATGGAGAGGAGTGCTTGCCACCTTTTCAGGGGACCTGTAACTCCAGCTCCAGGAAAAGCAGTACCAGACGGAACCTCTTCTGGCTTCCTTGGGCACTGCATGTATACAGTTTATACAAAGAACATTATTTTTTTTCAAAAGAAAAGTAAGGACAGTGGTCACACTCTGGAGTGGGCACAGGTTTCTCAAAAGAGTGTCACATTCCAGGGCCCAACTGTGGACAGATTTTGGTTTTTGAAATTAAATTGTTCAAAAGGTTTAAATATGAAGTAAACATGTTTTAGCTGGGTGTGGTGACTCATACCTATAATCTCAGCACTTGAGAGACTGAGGCAGGAGATTTGCCATGAGCTGGAGACCATCAGAAAGAAGGGAGGGGAGAGGAGGGAAAGAGGGAGAGGTTTTGAATTGACTGACTGATTTCACAGCCTTCTATGCTGGGGCCTGAAACCCTGGTGGCAGGGGGACAGCTGTGGATGTCTCCCATTGGCTGCTGTATGTACGCTTGCACATTCCCTGGCTTTGTTCATCTTTCCTAACATCTGGAACAGTGCTACAGGCAAGGGCAGAGAGGAGCTGAGAATTTTTCTCTTTCCACATTTTGCCGGTTCCTGGCTCTTCAGTGAGCAATGAGCCTCTGGTTCAGGTAACAGAGGACCTGGTCACTCAGCTTTGGAACTGTGACATCGGCTACAGGGCCCCCACCTTTGAAGGCACAGAATTGCTGTGATTTGAGGACCTAGCTTTGAAAGGCTGGGACCATAAGGCTCTAGTTACTGGGGCTTAAACTGTAAGCTCTGAGGTTTGGAAGTCTGGCATGTGAATTTCGGGTATGCAGGGCTGTCAGCACCGAGGGAGCTACCTCTGTGATTTTTATTCGAATGGAGTAAAATGACCTTCAGCCAAGTGTTATGACAGGAATATACATAAGGGCTGTCCATAAAGTTCTGAGATTTTCTATATCTGGTACATGTCACCCGTGGAATTTGGGGTCACTTCCCAAATTTGGGTTATCATCCAGTGAAGTGGCACTTCCCACCAGCTACAGTGACAGGGATAGAACTGATCTGTGGAGGAAGTGCCCCATTTGGGGTCCACCAGCAGGATGTGGACTCTGCCTCCCGGCACTTCACAAGTTGGCTCTGGGGCTTGGGTAGCAATGTCTGTAGAGCAAGCAGGGACAGGAAAAGAAATTCTGGACTCAGTGGTGAAACCTGAAGAATCTTCCCATCTCCACCAAGGATGGAGTTCCAAACATGCTGCTTCATAAGAGAATAGTAGATGTGCCCAACACTGCCCAGGGGTCAGGACCAGGAGAAATGTCCATTCAGGCCGCCGTTGATTCAATCTATTGCATAGTTCTCATGCTACAGGGCAGGAGCCGTGGAGGGTCAGCATACCTGATTGGGGGGTGGGCAGCATCCTTCCCTATATGCAACTGGGGCCTCAGGCTGGTGTCCCTGCTGTGTTTTGGGAAAGCCCTCTACCTGCCTGCAGTGGGAAAGGGCTGAGATGGGATGAGGGGCTGCTTGCTGGATTCCTTTCTGGTTAGGTTTTCTGAGCTCAGAAAACCTGGGAGAACTGGGATTTTGTAAGGGAGAGATATGTGGGGTTGGGTGTTCTTTGAGAAAAAGCTTAACCCAGTTAGCTGTAGACTCTGAGGTCTTGGGTACAGCTACAGCACTAATCAGGCTCCTGACCTTGGGGTTCTGACTTTGGGGGTGATGGTAAAGTGTGGGTCCTTTCATTTGCCTTACCCCAGGCACGAAGAGTGCTGCCATGTGTTGGGTGTGAGAGACCACCTTACCTTCAGGGAGCAAGGGCTGTTAATCTCTTTACCAGAGCAGCTGACCTCCCCAGGAGAGCAGTAGAGGCAGGTGAGGGGCATGGTGGTGTGAGAGGAAGGCTCTGCTCAAGTCGCATCACCTCCATGCAAAGGCTGTGAAAAAAGAGGGCAGCCCATGGGACCAGGGAAGGTGGCACAGTTGAAATTGACTGCATGCCAGAAACTTTGACAACCCGATCCAGGCAAGATCTACCTAATCAAAACCTTATTTTATTTAATAATTTTTTATACAATGTATTTTGGTCATATTCTTTCCCCTCCCCAACTTCCCAGATTCTCCCACTGACCCAACTTCATATTCTCACCCCTCTCTCTCTCTCTCTCTCTCTCTCTCTCTCTCTCACACACACACACACACACACACACACACACCTTTAGCCAAAACAACAACAAAAAAGGACACAAAAACATATAGTCCCAGAATCTCTTTAAAAAATAATTGTGCTGGGTCACTGAATCCCAGAACTTGGGAGGCTGAAGCAGGCTGATCTCTGTGATTTCAAAGCCAGCCTGGTCTACTGAAGAAATTAGCCATTTTAACCTTTTTAAAGTCATAAGCAAATACAATATAATCAACCCCAGGCCTTTTTAATCTTTCCAAACTGATATTGTTCCCATTAAAATACTAACTTCAGTGGGATGGAGCAGAGTATAGTTTCTGGCACTGGCTCACAACTGCCTGTAACTCCAGCTCCAGGTTGCCTAACCCCCTCTTCTGGCCCCTCACAGTACACATGCACATGTACACACACACACACACACACACACACACACACACACACACTGAATAAAGAGAAAAACCAATCTGCTAGGTATGGTGGTGTACTTTCCCAGCACCAGGGAAGCAGAGGCAGGTTGATCTCTATGAGTTCAAGGTCAGACAGGTCTACATAGTCAGCTCCAGGCCAGTCAAGGGCTACAGAGTAAGACCCTCTCTCCATGCACTGCCCCCAGTCTTTAAGAAGTTTTTGCTTGGGGCTGGACAGATGGCTCAGCCGTTAACAGCACTGACTGCTCTTCCAGAGGACCCGGGTTCAATTCCCAGTTCACAATTGTCTAAAAATGAAGTTCACAAGACCTGACACCCTCACACGAATGCACATTAAATAAAGTTAAATAAATTTTAAAAAAGTTTTTGCTTTCCCTTCCTTCTGAGGTAGGATAGAGAGGGAAATTATGGGGTCGTGAGGAGGATGAGGAGCCCCCTCATTCAGGAATTTGGTTGAAGCCTCTGGCCTACAGAGAAGCAGGAATTTCGGCACAAGTAATGGCTCAAGGCCTTCCCTCCTCCAATAAATCTGCAGTTTCTAGGACTCTCACCAGAAACTTGATTTACGGGAAAGGACATGTACAAAACTCCGGACACAACCAGTGGCTCCTGGTTTTACCTTTTCAGATTATAATTCCATCCAAGGCACATCTGAAGCCACCCTATAATCTCATATATACATACACATATAGTTTTGGAGTAACCTTTTGAGATCTAAACTGAGAGTCATCAAAATGGTGTATGTAGCTAGTGCTAAGGTTTGGGACTCCCTTGAGCTACACTTGGGTACGTCTTAATACTCTCTTCTAAGTCTTGTGGTTAAATCTATGTTAAAATATCTTTAATAAAACCTCAGATTTGCTTTTACTAGTTCTAGAATTCTTGTCTGAGTCAAAGCCATGAATCCAGTTTGGCCTGAGTTGCAGTCTCTATGAGAAAAAAGGGACATTCTCTGGCTCGGGTGACAGCAAGGAGTTTTATCTGTTCCCTTACCACAGGAACTCCCTCTTCTAGCCACAACCTGGTATCCACTATTCCGTTTCTGTTTCTACCAAGTTGATTCCTTTAGTGACCTCCTACGAGTGCACGATTTCTTCTTTATAGGTGGCTTATTTTACTGGGCTCAGTGTCCTCCAGGGTTGTCCATACTGTAGCCCGGGACCGAGACTTTTTAAGGCTGTGTGGATAGTCCACAGGGCCACATTTTGATGTGTATTTATCCGTCCGTGCACATCTGGGTGGTTTTACACTCGAGACATCCGAGCTAGGGATTTGTAGTTGTGGAGTAGAGCGGTAAGGCTGGGCCACCTGGCTCTCTTCCCTGCAGCATCACTGGTGTCACCGGTATCTCACGCCAGCGGCGCTCTCTGCTGTTATCAAGCCCAAACACCACCGCAGGAGTCTCTTCTCTTTCCCTTCAACACCCTCGATGCCCATGGCTCCAGGCTGCCCCACCCAGCTCTACAGACCTGGGTAGCTGAGCCAGCCTGGCGTGAGGATATGTGGGGGTACTTATGGGTTATTAGCTCTCAGCTGGTGTGCCATGACCACACAAAGATGCAGATAAGTCACAACCACCGTGACTCTCCTCCACCTCAACGCACGGCGGGGCGCTTCTGTCTCCTTAAGGCGCTGCCTTCCCGGCTCCCTGGAGTCCTTCCCCTGCAAGAGACTTTTCCCTAAGTCGCGAGGGAGAGATCGGAAGGACCCGACGGCGTCCAAGCTTAAGAGCTGTTCAGAAAGCGACGCCCACGGTGCGACCGGGGTAAAATCGAGAGTGCTTGGGGAAAGTCACTCGGTCAACACGCCTCGCCAGGCTACAAGCACTGCTGGCTCCATGGAGATATTCTGGGCTGCACTCGACTTACACCACTTTACAAGTCACCGACTCGGAAGGCACCGTCGGGAGCCGCACGGTAAAGACCGGTGCCAGGCGCTGCCTCGAGTCAACACGACCTTCAGCCGCCGCGCGGGGCCGAGAACGTTCTACTCGGCCGCAGCGGCCACGCCCACGTCCCGCCTTTTCCCCGTGGTGGGGACAGAACCTGCCAATCAGAAGTTCCTGAAGCATGCAAATAAGCCTCCGCCCCCAGGGGAAAGGCGTTTCCCTAGACTTGCAGCTTCCTTCGCAGACGCCGCCTCGCAGTTTTGTCTTCCATCCAGCACGGCGCTCAAGTCCGTTAGCTAGGCCGGAAGTGGAGACCCGAGCGCCCCGCTGGCGGAGCCGGAAGTGCGCTAGCGAGGCGCTTACTGGCCGGAAGCCGAGCCCCGGACACGCCCACCTGCCGTTGGCGTCGCAGGTGTACCTCAGACACTTTGACGGCGTCGCCGAGGAGGCGGCTGGACCACCGTGGGGTCCAGGCGGAGGCCGAGGGCCGAGTCGGCATGGCGGAGGGCGGGAGCCCCGAAGGGCGGGCCGGCCCGAGGGCCGCAGGTAACGTGAGCGGCTTGGGGTGGTGGGGAACGGGGGCTGCGTCTCTGGATCAGTCAGAATGACGCTCTGGCGTCCAGCGCCCGTGTCCTACGTCCCCGCCGGCCAGGTCTGCGGAGCCGCACCCGGGGTCAGTTAGTGGACGTCAGGCATCGTGGGGCCCAGGGCGCTACCCCCGCTCTCGGCCTCCCGTGGTCAACCCTCTCGCGGGATTTTTTTCTTTCCAAAGTTGGTCTTGTAACTGCCACCCTGTTAGCCGATCCTAGTCAGTGACCACAGCCGTGACACGGAGCACGGATCCTCTTCCAGGTCTGAGCACACTGGTCAGGAAAGGTCCTCAGAGGTCGGCCCGCTGTAGGGCAGGCTCCTTTTCCTCATCCCGTCCTGCCAGTCAGCGCCTCGTAGCCACTGGACACCCCCTACCCCCCTTGACGACCATGCTGTCCCCAGAGAGCCTGCCAGTGACACAGCGCTTACAGCGGCGCTTGACCCACCTACCTGCAGAGAAAGACTGACATTCGTCATCTGCCCCAGCATCTCCACTTTGCCGTACTGCCACTGTGAAACCGAGAATTCCCAGGAGAGGAACTTCCTGGTGCGAAGTCCCACATGGGGTCTTTCTGAGACTGCCATGCGTGTGGTAGGGACCTTGCTGTGCCCATCTCTGGTCTTGGAGAGGCGCTTGTTTTGTTCAGGGAACTCTTTTAGGTATCAAAATCTCAGAAGGCCGCACAAATGACAGTCTTGTCCTCCCTCCCTCCATCAAGTCAACAGGCTTTATTTATTTATTTAATTTATTTATTTACTGTTGGCTTGGCTCACGAGGTTATCAGGGTGACCTGAAAAGGCTAGACAAAGCCTTTGCCACTCAAAACTTTGGTTGGCTTTGACTTTGATCTCAGGGACAGACAAGATCTCCGAGTGGACTGCTCTGTCATGCAGGAGTGTCATGGGAGACACTCATGGGGTGGGTAAAAGACAGCTATTCCTTAGTGTGGAGAAGGGTCCTGTAAAAGAATCTGGTTTTGGCCTTTCAGTACCCGTTTTGTTAGTGTGTCCAGCTCGGGGTGGAGAGACTGGTCTTGAGTGCTATCGGGGGTAGTTGTGTTGTCACTGGAATGGAAAATCCGAAAAACACAAACATGAAGTGGCCTTTGACTCTAGAATTGGGGGAATTTCTGAGGGTGCCCTGCTCCCGGGCTGGTAGCCTTGAAGAGAGATGAGCAAAGAGAGGTCCAAAGAGCTGATCAAGTCCTCTGGTGCCCACTTTCTTGACACATCTGTTTCTTCCCCAACTTTGGCTTTGGACTTGTATATCCATCGGTAACTGCATTGTACTTGTGGAGGGCAATGATTGGAGGAGGACCTGGATGGAGCCTTAAAGAGCAGTTTCTGGGCTTGATGCCCACCTGTTGATGTGCAGCAGCACATCAGGTTGTGGGATCCGAAGGAGCCACGTAGGTGTTTGTGAACCTTGTGCTGCCATTAGCCTTTTTGTCTTCCCCGTTCAGTGGACTTTCAGATCCTGGAGGGTAAGGATGCCCACCTACTCATCAGCACACTGTCCCTTTAGGAGAGTCTTGTATTCGGTAGGGACTCAAAGGACATTCTGTTTGAATATGAAAACAACATCTAGAAAAAGCCTGTTTGTGAAGGGTATGCTTTAGAATGATGCCTGGTCACATGCTAGGACATCATCACAGGGTGGGAAACTTGTATCGCAGCAGTTAGAATTTGTGCTGTTTTTATAACACCTTTTGATGCAAGTTTTTATAAAACATCAGTCTCCTGGAGTTAAGTTTGGACTTTGATGTGAGCAGCGATGCAGATGTTTCCAAGCAGGTGATTAATTGTACAAATGTTCTCCATTGACTACATTTCTCTCTCTGCTTTTGATGCCTGGTTTTGTGTTGCTATTGTTTTGTTTTGTTTTTGTTCAGTTTGGTGAGAGTTTTGTTATCTAGTATGATAGAGTTTTTTTCCACCCCATTATTTTGTTTGTTTGTTTGTTTTTTGTTTTTTAAGATAGGGTTTCTTTGGCTGTCCTCCAACTCACTCTGTAGATCAGGCTGGCCTTGAACTCACAGAGATCCACCTGCTCTGCCTCCCAAATGCTAGGATTAAAAGGAGTGTGCCACCACGCCCATTATTCTTACTAAAACAAAAAACAATTCTCCCTTATGTATATCTACAAATAAATTTTGGAATATTTTTGGCATATCCCGTATTAAATTTCTGAAGAGACTGGCTACATTTTATTTATGGGTAACCTTGGGAATTCTTTTATATTGAATCTTCTCATTCTAGTACATAATACGTATGGTTTTTCTATTTAGTCCTCTTTATTTTTTGTTATATAGGCTGTACTTGTATTTATGCATTTACTTTTTAGTTTTTTACTTAGTTATAATTTTTCTATTTCTTTTTGTGCGTGTGTGTGCACATGTATATGTGGAGGTCAGAGGTCAACATTTAGTGTTATCCACCTTATTTTTGAAACAAGGTTTCTCACTGCATATGGAGTTTGCAGATTTGGATTTAGCTAGACTGGCTGCCAGCCAGCCCAGAGATCCACAGCCCTAGGGAGCCTCCTGTTTCTACCCCTGGTAGAACTACAGGCGTGTGCAACTGGTCTTGGCTTTTTATATGAGTGTTGGGGATCTGAGCTTAAGGGCTGGTGTTGGCATGGCAAGTACTACTAACTGAGACATCTTGAAGTGTAATTTTTATACAATGTTACATTTGAGACTTTTCCTGTTATTTTCATTGCTACAACAAAATACCTGAGATAGGATAACTATAAAGAAAAGTGATTTATTTAGTTCAGTCTTAGAGGCTGAATTTCATGGTGCAGGTTCTGATGTAGGTACCTCGAGGCAGACACCAGTGGAGGAACTGTGATCTCCTGGCTAACCAGGAAGCCAGAGTCTAGGTGGGGCAGGTTTCATGTTCTTATAATTACCCTCTGATAAGACCTCTCCAGGATCCCAGGAGAAATTCTGCAGACCTGCAGGAAGACACTTTCCCACTGACCCTGTGGCCCATGTGATGCCACACTGGTTAAAGAGCTGTGTTGTCTCTCAGCACTACCATACTGGGCAGGCCTCTAACACACGGACCTCTGTAGATGCAGTAGTATTCTGCTGAGGTTTTTCTTCTCTAGACACCTTTGTTGTTGTTTCTCAGAGCAGCAGGGTGGGAAACTCACCTACCTTCTGTATAGCAACTCTTGTTTGGCCCTTGGTTTTTAGTAACCAGCTGTCTTTGTAGTAAAGGAGATGGCTGCCATTCTCCTTTCAGATGCCCCATTTTAAAGATGGTCTTAGTTAGATACTTGGGATAAATTAGAGTAATTACATGCTAGAATTTTTGGCGTAATATTTTCGATTTTAATTTGGCAGTACTTTATGTAGAATCTTCTATGCTATAAAGTTCCTGTTGGCTCATTGTTCCATTGCTCCCCAGTCGATCACATGGACTAGGACATTTTTTTTTCTTTTTAGAAAAAGAATTTTATCAGGCTTGGTGTCAGGGATGGCTAGTTTGATAAGGGAAACCCTACAGGTTTTCTGGGAATTTGAAAGTTCCTGTGTGGCTGGGCAGGAAGGAGCCTCTGCAGAAGGCGTCCTATTTGGTTGGCCTTGCTAATGGTTTCCCACACTGATAGGAGCCCCTCTCTTCATGCAGGTCCTAATCTGAAGGAGTGGCTGAGGGAACAGTTCTGTGACCATCCACTAGAGCACTGTGAAGATACAAGGCTCCATGATGCAGCCTATGTAGGGGACCTCCAGACCCTCAGGAATCTACTGCAAGAGGAGAGCTACCGGAGGTGAGTGTCCCTGCTGGGGCTGGTAGCAGGTATTAGCCTGTGGGTCTTCAGGAGACTGAAATTTGTGGTTTGGATTGCCGATTAAGACTGATGCTGCAGGAATGCCTTTTGATTTTATTGGAGGGACAAAAAGAAGAATTACTGGTGGCCGGGTACTGTGGGCAGGTGTCCCTGGGTTCAAGTCTGGCTTTGTGATTGACCTTTGTGTTTTCTGGTAATTTGTTCTATCTAGGCATTAGTTTCCTCAGTGTTTTTCTTGAAGGCAATGTTAGAGATGTCAGTAGTGGCCTTGCCCCTCAAAGTCCCCTATGGCTCTTTAAAATAAAAAAAAAAGATGTTTTATTTAAAACGGGGTCTCACTATGTAGCCTTGGCTGGATCAGAATTTATTATGTATACGAGGATGGCCTCAAATTCACAGAGATCAGCCTGTCTCTGTGCTCTAAGTGCTAAGATTAAAGAAAGGTGTGCACCAACCACTATGCCTGACTATTTTATTCATTTAAATTATGTGTGTATGGGGGACGGGTGGGTATGTGCATGTAAATACAGGTGGCCACAGGGTCCTGAAGAGGGAGGTCATCCCTTGAAATTAGGTGATTGTGAGCCACCTGATGTGGGTGCTGGGAATTGAACTCAGGTCCTTTGAGAGTGTCACATGCCCTTAACCATTGAGCCATCTCTTCATCCTTTCTCCAATGGCTCTTTAGCCAGAGTAGTCCTTTTTCTACAACTACTTTATTGCCATTCCTTTGATGTTCTCATTTTCACTTCTCAGGTCTGTAGTGATCAGCCATAGGCCAGCTGACTTCCCACTGTAGGGATGTGGTGGTGCCATCTCCTTTGTTTTCTTTTCCTGGCCTCCTGATTACAAAATCCTTCCAGTTACTGAGTCCTGGATCTTCTTTTAAAGCTGAGAGTCTTGCCCTGTCTCCCTGTGCAGGATGCTAGGAGAGCACCCATCATTTTCTCTGGGGGCTCCTTGAGTACTTTGTCTGAATGATATTGAATACAAATGAAACTGGACTTCATACTTCTGTGTTTTTACTTTGCCTGGAGGAGTGGACGCAGTGGATTGATGGAAGTCTCTGTGGGAGACCTACACTACTGCCTTTGTGTAGACAATTCCCAAGTAAAGGATTCCTAACCAGCCAGGAGTGTGCTCCTTTCTTATATTTTTGGTTGTGAGCCTAGCCTTTAACGGCTGAGCCATCTCTCCAGCCCAATGTGCTCCTTTCTTATCCTTCTGATGTCTTAGCATTATTTCATAGAGCACAGGCTGGAGAGATGACTTAGCAGTTAGAGCACTTGTTGCTCTCACAGAGGACCCAGTTTCAATTCTCAGCACTCACATGAGACATCCTCTTCTGACTTCTGCAGGCACCAAGCATGCATATGGCACAAAAAAATATGTACAGGCAAAACATCCATATGTGAAATAAAATGAATAAACCTAATAAAACCAAGCACAAAATTTAAATTTATTTAATGTGGCTCAAGCCCCTGAAAGACTTAAGCATACAGACAGAGCAGTAGAATGAAAGAGTTCAGTGAAGTTCCTATTGTGCTCCCCTTCCCTCTCCCTGTCCCCTCTCCTCTCCTTGTCCTCTTCTCTCTCTTCCCTTTTTCTCCCCTTTCCCCTATTTCTTCCTTCACATTTGGCCCTTATGTAGTTTAATAGCCTAGGCTGGCTTTGAACTCCAGACCCTTCTACCTCTGCCTCCCCCTCCTGAGTTCTAGATTATTGGCCCATGCCACCACACTGGCTCCTTTCTTAAACTCAGGGTTCATGAATGTCCTTTTTCTTTAACATTTTCTTTTGCTGTCCATGTCTCTGGTGGTGAGTTCTGGAGGGTTCCTGGACTTTATTGGCCCGTATCAGCCTATATATGACTGGAGGTGGAACACCAGGACTGGTTTAGAGAGACACTGCCTATGGGATGGTCCTTAGTTTCTGCTTCAGTGTGGAAGCTGAGGTTAAACACACCTTGGTTTCTGACCTGGAGGGTCAGTGGACAGCATAAATACTTTTCTGGTGGTCATACTGTCTGAGAGCTGTGTCTGGACAGTTGGCTGCCACTGCTGGCCAAGAATGCTGCCCCCATAATCTTAATGATCTCCTAGACTCTCAGTTATTCTGGGTCAGGGTAGGAGGAGATAGATTACTACTATTGATTGTCTTTATCTGGAGAGGATTCCAGCATTGGACCTTTATAGGTGGTCACTAGTAAGAGGGCGTGCGTGGCCCTTCCTGTCCTGCCCTGTGTTCCTGATGGATCTATATAAGTATTGTAGAGGAATAGGCGTTGAAATGTAGGTTAGGTATCTAAGAACTAGAAATCTCAGTTTTAGTGCTGATTATTTTGCTGAAGCCCCTAGTTTCCTTGTCACTGGACCCCAAATGCCTATTTTCTCTGCTTAAGTTCAGCAGGGCAATTGTGGAAGCATTTCAGGACATAGAACACAAAGGGCTGGAAATGTAGCTCAGGGGTAGAGTGTTTGCATAATGTGTACAAGATCCTGGGTTTGATGCTTAGCACCATGAGACAGAAAACAGAACACAGGTGAAGGTATTCCAAAACTGGGGGGTTGGCATTGGCTACCTAAATAGCTGTCTTTCTTGGGAGCCTTTGCCAATGTGAGAAGAGGGAGAACCGCTCATTTGCCTGGGGTGACTCTCATAAGCTCCCTGTGTTCCCCATATAGCCGCATCAATGAAAAGTCTGTCTGGTGCTGTGGCTGGCTCCCCTGTACACCACTGAGAATCGCAGCCACTGCAGGCCATGGGAACTGTGTGGACTTCCTCATACGCAAAGGAGCCGAGGTGGACCTAGTGGATGTCAAGGGGCAGACTGCCCTGTATGTGGCTGTAGTGAATGGGCACCTGGAGAGCACTGAGATCCTTTTAGAAGCTGGTGCTGACCCCAATGGCAGCCGGCACCACCGCAGCACTCCTGTCTACCATGCCTCTCGCGTGGGTAGGGATGACATCCTGAAGGCTCTTATCAGGTCAGTACTGCCTGTTTCTCTACTTGGTTTTTTTCTACTTTAAGAGTGTGCTTGTTAGAGGACTTGGAAGGACTGCTTCATTAGTGCCCTTCTTTGCTTTCTCACCCACTGATACCTTATGCTTACTGTTATTTTTCTTAACTTTTTGAGTTGTGTGCTTATTTATTTTTAACAATGTAAACTTTCTTTTATTTCTTTATTTCTTTATTCAGTGTTCTGCCTGCATGTATCCCTGCAGGCCAGAAGAGGGCATCAAATCTCATTACAGATGGTTGTGAGCAGATATGGCTGCTGGGAATTGAACTCAGGACCTTTGGAAGAGCAGGCAAAGCTCTTAACCACTGAGCCATCTCTCCAGCCCAACAATGTAAACTTTCAATGAAATTTACCTTCATTTATAGCTTTGGCCATATCCTCTAAAGTCCCTTTTCTTTCTTTCTTTCTTTCTTTCTTTCTTTCTTTCTTTCTTTAATTTTACATGCCAGTCCCAAGTCTCCCTCCCTCTTCTCCTCCCGCTCCCCCCATCTTCCCCCCACCCTACTCCCCATCTGCTCCTCAGAGAAGGGTAAGGCCTCCCTGGGAAGTCAACTAAGTCTATTCCATCACTTTGTTGAGACAGGGCCAAGTTGTGCCCCACCCCCAGTGCCTAGGCTAGCAAGGTATCTCTTGTAGAGAATGGGCCCCCACAAAGCCAGTTTATACATTAGCATCCTTATTCTTGAAATATTAAAAAAAATTTCGTGTGTGTGTACCATGTGTGGGTACCAGAAGGGGGTATCAGATCCCCTGGAGTTGTTACAGGTATTTGTGGGCCATATGATGTGGGTGCTGGGAACTGAACTCTGGTCCTCTGCAAGTGCAGCAAATGCTTAACTGGTGAGACATCTCTCCAGCCTCCAAAGCTCAATTTTTTAAATAGCTATAGTTGAGGTTGATTTCTTCTTTGTTCTTAGAGTTTTGGAAGAGGATTCTGTAATAACAGTGAAGTTTTTCATTATTGATGCCCCTCACACACATTGTTATGAATGCTTGCATGGTGTGTTAACCTAAGTTCTATTCTTCAGGATCCCCATTTTTTTCTTTGCCATCAAAGCAGCCAAAATTTAGAGAAATGTGTAAGTCTGTAATTACTGTTGTGACTTTTGTCAGTTGCCTCTGCATTTCAATTAGATTTTGAGCTGAGTGTTGTGATTTAATTATATTGATATTACATTTCCTTTTGTTTGAACGAGCTTTTGTTCTCCCCTTTTATACTTTGAGTAGCATCTTTCCACCCTAGATGTCTTATTCATCCCTTAATGTGGAGGCCAGCTAGTTCTAGGGTGGGCTAGTGTAGCTTAGGTAGCTAGTTTGCTCTTAGTGAGAGGGTAGTTGTTATCATAGAACCTTCATCCAGTAACTGAGGGGAGCAGATGCAGAGATCCACAGCTAAGCACTGGGCCAAACACCTGGAATCCAGTCATAAACAGGGAGGAGTGATATTATGAACAAAGGGACTAAGACTGTGATGGGGAAACCCACAGAAGCAGCTGACCCAAGCAAGTGTGAGTTCACTGACTCCAGACTGACAGGTGGGAAACCAGCATAAGACAAACTAGGGCCTCTGAATGTGAGTGACAGTTGTGTGGCTTGGGCAGTTTATGGGGCCACTAACAATAGAACGGGATTTATCCCTAATGCATAAACTGGCTCTTTGGAGCCCATTCCCTATGGAGGGATACCTTGCTCAGCCTAGATACAGGGGGAGGGCCTTGGTCCTGCGTCTGGTGATCTGACAGGTGACAGACTTTGTTGACTGTCCATGGGAGGTCTCACCCTCTCTGAGGAGTGGATGGGGGGTGGGATGGGGAGAAGGTAGGGGAGTTGAAGGATGGGAGGGAGAGGGAACTGGGATTGGTATGTAAAATAAGATTGATTTAAAAAAAAATGAGTTGGAAGCTTTTCTATGATTAGGATTTTACAATTTATCACTGTTAATTTAAGTCTTAAAATTTGTATTGAAGATTTAGTTTAAGAGCCTTTAGCATCAAATATAAAACTTATATAAATAAATACAGTCTCCCCCCCGCCCCCAAAAAAAAGAAAAGAAGCAGATAAAAGTTCCCTTGTAGAAGAGTGCCAGCAGTGGTTTCTCAACTAGGTTCTGGAAGTATATTTTTCCAAAAGGGTTATATACTAATCAGCTACAGATTAAAGATAAATGATCGAGGAAGTTTTAAATTAGAGGGTGATAAAGTTTGGGCTTCAAAGAAACTCATCTAGTCATTTCTAGCATGGCTATATAAACTACCTTGAATTCATGCTTTTGCATCTTAGAGAATTTAAGGCATTAATGTGGAAATGTTTTTTTAATTTTTTTGTTTTGTTTTTTGCTTTTTGAGACAGGATTTCTCTTGATAACAGCCTTGGCTGTCCTGGAACTCACTCTGTAGACCAGACTGGCCTCAAACTCACAAAGATCTGCCTGCCTCTGGATTAAAGGTGTGCACCACCACTGCCTGGCTATATTTTTGAATTTTTTATATTTGTGTGTTTGTGTGTGTACATACGCATGTTCATGCACATTCCATAGTATGCCTGTGGAGGTCAGGGGATAACTTGTGGGAGCTGGTTTTCTCTTTCCACTATATGGGTTCCAGGGATGGAACTCAAATCATCAGGCTTGGCAGGAAGATCCTTTGCACACTGGAAATGTTTTTGAGTAGGATCAGTTAATGAAATTCCATTTTAGTTCAGAAATCCCTGTGGACATTTCAGATGATATATCCTGTTTCCTCTGTGGAGCACAGGGCACTACTCTGGCAAGCAAGCATATTAACGTATTATTTTATTTAAAATTTCCCTATATTCTAAACTTTATGATGATTGACTTTTAGAAAATGGAAGCTTGCTGGGTGTAGTGATGAACACTTTTAATATCAGCACTGGGGAGGTAGAGGCAGGTAGAGCTCTATGAGTTTGAGGCCAGCCTGGTCTACATAGCAAGTTCTAGGCCAGTCGGGTACATGATGAGACCTTGTCTAAAAACAAGCAAGCAGGCAAGCAAGCAAGCAAGCAAGCAAACAAACAGCCAAAAATAACAAAGACAAAAATGGAAATGGTACTGGTAAGTTACTAAATGGGTAATATCATCAAAATAAAACCCAAACTTCCCGGCCTGTCTGTATCACTTTTCCTGTAGGCATGCCTTTCATCTTTCATTATTGCCATTTTCTGGCTCTCTGTAAGGTACTTCCTTTTTTTGTTGGTAAATTCCCTTGCTCTACATTGCTGATATTTTAGGATAGAAGGTAAGAAATGATGTTTCTGTGTGTTCAAGGTTATATTGACTTGTTCAGCTGTTTTGGGTGTGTAGAGATAATAAAAGCAATAGAGAAATTTAGAAAATATTTAGGATTAAAATGAACTGGATCCTATTCAGTATATTTTTATGAGTTTCAAAAACTGTCTTTCCTATTGCTCAATAGGTACCAGATTGTTACACTGTCACCCAAGATTGTTTTTTAATTAATTAATTAATTTATTAAAGATTTCTGCTTCCTCCCCACCACCGCCTCCCATTTCCCTCCCCCTCCCCCAATCAAGTTCCCCTCCCTCATCAGCCCGAAGAGCAATCAGGGTTCCCTGCCCTGTGGGAAGTCCAAGGACCACCCACGTCCTTCCAGGTCTAGTTAGGTGAGCATCCAAACTGCCTAGGCTCCCACAAAGCCAGTATGTGCAGTAGGATCAAAACCCAGTGCCATTGTTCTTGAGTTCTCAGTAGTCCTCAATGTCCTCTATGTTCAGCGAGTCTGGTTTTATCCTATGCTTTTTCACATCCAGGCCAGCTGGCTTTGGTGAGTTCCCGATAGAACATCCCCATTGTCTCAGTGTGTGGGTGCACCCCTCGTGGTCCTGAGTTCCTTGCTTGTGCTCTTTCTCCTTCTGCTCCTAATTTGGACCTTGGGATTTCAGTCCGGTGCTACAATGTGGGTCTCTGACTCTGTCTCCTTTCATCTCCTGATGAAGGTTAATATCCAGGAGGATGACTATATGTTTTTCTTTGGGTTCACCTTCTTATTTAGCTTCTCTAGGATCACAAATTATAGGCTCATTGTCCTTTATTTATGGCTAGAAACCAAATATGAGTGAGTACATCCCATGTTCCTCTTTTTGGGTCTGGCTTACCTCACTCAGGACAGTGTTTTCTATTTCCATCCATTTGCATGCAAAATTCAAGAAGTCCTTGTTTTTTACTGCTGAGTAGTACTCTAATATGTATATATTCCATACTTTCTTCATCCATTCTTCCATTGAAGAGCATCTAGGTTGTTTCCAGGTTCTGGCTATTACAACCAATGCTGCTATGAACATAGTTGAGCATATACTTTTGTTGTATGATAGGGCCTCTCTTGGGTATATTCCCAAGAGTGGTATTGCTGGGTCCGGGGGTAGGTTGATCCCGAATTCCTGAGAAACCGCCACACTGCTTTCCAAAGTGGTTGCACAAGTTTGCAATCCCACCAGCAATGGATGAGTGTACCCCTTCCTCCACAACCTCTCCAGCAAAGGCTATCATTGGTGTTTCTGAGTTTAGCCATTCTGACAGGTGTAAGATGGTATCTTAAAGTTGTCTTGATTTGCATTTCCCTGATTGCTAAGGAAGTTGAGCATGACCTTAAGTTTCTTTTGGCCATTTGAACTTCTTCTGTCGAGAATTCTCTGTTCAGCTCAGTGCCCCATTTTATAATTGGGTTGATCAGCATTTTACAGTCTAGTTTCTTGAGTTCTTTATATATTTTGGAGATCAGACCTTTGTCAGTTGCGGGGTTGGTGAAGATCTTCTCCCAGTCAGTGGGTTGCCTTTTTCTCTTAGTGACAGTGTCCTTTGCTTTACAGAAGCTTCTCAGTCTCAGGAGGTCCCATTTATTCAATGAGGCCCTTAATGTCTGTGCTGCTGGGGTTATACGTAGGAAGTGGTCTCCTGTGCCCATGTATTGTAGAGTACTTCCCACTTTCTC